TAAACAAAATCTCCGGGTAGGAAAGAGTATCACCCATGCTATTGACTAAACATAAGAGTCAAACAACTTATACGAAACAAACCAACTTAAAACCCAACCACAAAATCCTTAAAACAACATCCCTTCACTACGTATGTACTGTCAAAGAAATCCTCCTATGATCTAGAAAAAGCATCATAATTCTTCATACAAAGTCAAAAACGTATTATGAGCATCATAACAGATCCAGCCAAACACCAACCGCCACCTCCAAATTTCTTGATCCAGAACCCCAGTTAACAAGCAAGGGAGACCAAGATTGGCCTCTTAGCCTGAAGAAAATTTCGAAGAAATATCTTCATAGTAGGAACGTTCATCGGTTGCCAAGCCCATGAACGTTCCATAGGAGAATTATTAGGAAGATCTTGGAGACCCCTCGAGGCTGGTCTCCTCCGCCTTGTCAACAAAATCCTCGAAACAAAAACTATGCTTACCAGAAAAATCCATGCCACTAACAATCAAATGCCCAACACCAGTTTTTCGCACGGTTCTAGTTCATGCTTGGTGCCGCATACTTGTCATCCCCTTGAGCAGAAGAGGCAGTGGTTATCTCCATAGCATTAAGATAGAGAACCCTCACCAGCGACTGGCTTCTTGGGAACCCATAAAGGAAGCCAACGAAGCCACCCCATGGAAAACAAAAATAAAAATAAAAATTGTCATACCCAATTCACTAAGAAGAACCCAAAGAGACAATCAAAGAAGACTGAGAGAGACGGCGCAGAGAATGAGTAAAGAAAACTGGAGAAATCCTAAACTTAGCCGTCAAGGCTCTCCTCGCGTGAATGAGAGAGCGACCCAAAAAGCTACACAAAATTAAAAATTGAATTCCTGATTTTGAAGGAATTCAATTTTTAAGGGGGAAGTGATATTCTAATTTCTAGAAAACTAATCCATTAGGAATTCATCTTTTTACCAATTATATCCTCACACAATTTTAAAATTTTAAAATTCGTCATCTACTTTAACTCAACAACAATGACATTTTAGTAATTAGCACCACTCCTACCCCAATTCTATATGATTTAATAAACAACTTCAATACAAATTCGGAACCTAATTCTCCTCAATTCAAAGAATTGCCACTATTGGAAGGGTAATGGGTTAATTTACGTTGGGTAAGGATGAGAATGGATGCGAGCCGTACACGTGGCTGATTGGACGAATGTAGTGTGTGATGATGCGCGATTGAAGGGGATGGGGAGGGAGCCTAAGACTAGGGAGGCAGGAAGGGAAAGGTACAAGTTAATAAGTTGTGCACAAAAAGGACATTTTGCCTAAACTGGACCATAATTATTGCTCTGCTGCATGGTACTTTTTAACGTGCCTGTTTTGACTAATCACAATGCTTTGCTTTATTTATTTATTTATTTATGTTTTTATTTTTTTGTATATTATATATTTAGAGAAGAAAATAATAAAATGTCCTTGATATCAATATGCAGATTTGGGGTTTTCATTCTACACATTATTATCCTTCATGGGTAGCAATCAATCCAAGTGGAAGGGGCTTGGATTCTTTAAACAAGAGGCCCTGGGTTCGATCCCAGGCGCTTGCGAATAGAGCAGACTTTGTTGGGAGAGGTCCCTATTTTGCGCCCGACAGTACCTCGAAGGTTAGTCCCTGCAATCACGCGGGTAATACCTTGGTTTTCAAAAAAAAAAAAAATAAAGGCAATGGTAGGAGTAGGACTATCTGAAAAAGCTTTTCTTACTATTCACATGTCACATATCGACATTTTTATAGGGATTTATCTTGGGTTATTTTTTAATTTTATTATTATTTTAAAAAAAGGAATTGATTTGATTTTGTGACTCAAACAATGAGAGAGAATAAGAGCATATGGTCCTGCACTGCAAGTGCATCCATGCAATATGGGAAACAGGGAAAGCTTTGCTTTGCTTCCTCCGAGAATGTCCGCTGCTTCTTCTTGTTGGCATTGCCAATCTAATTATTAATTTGTAGATTTAAAAGGAGTTTAATCATGGTTGGTTCAGGCCTGCAAGGAAGGTGCTTGCGATAATCCATAACACAACTCAATTTAACCACCTCTTTTGGGAGTTTAATTAAGTTTCAATATTTATCAAAACACATCATCGGTCGTTCGGTATATTTATCTTAATTATATACGTTGTTTAAATCAATGAAGGTATAATATCATTCACCCATTCTTAATTAATCCACCCACATGAGCTCAACATTTCGAATTACTTCCACCAAAATTGCTTTCTTTACTTTCGAGACATGAATCTAATATCACCAAATTTAAAAATGAAAAACCAAAATCTGCAAATGCAGCATGAGTGAAGAGAGTGGCACACACACGTGCGCCGGAGTTTCCAGTATAGGGCGTCCAACTCCAACAACATGAGACTTGTTCCAATGCCGTCACGACCGCATTATTATTAATTTATTAGCCAAACCAAACAACATACAAATTAATATATGCATATATGTCTTGTCTTCGATGCTTTGCATGCTCTTGTCTCGTCTCCCCCATCCACGTTTTCCACTATCTCTTTTGTGCTAGTGTTATATTTTTCTTAAATTACTTTGATGTCCTATTGAGTGTTTTGGGCTCTTTTATGAGGTTTTGGGGTTGAGTTTATTTTAAGAAATCAATGGCAGTTTTGTAATTTAAAAGAAGTTAAAAGTCTTTTTGTTATGTTGTAAATGAGCTTTGGGTGTGTTTCTAAAGTCCATTTTATATAGGTTTTTTTATATAATAATTTGGACTCCTATATTGAGTATAATAGTGAATCTCCATTCTTTTTTTTGTCAAAAAACTACTATAGCTTGCATGGCACAATTCAAACATTTCGATATATATGTGGTCTCTTATTAATTTATTTATGAGATATTTAGTTATATACTTATTTTTAAGTATGAGTGATATAAATAAATTCTATACCATTTAATTTTTATAAATAAATTTTTAAAAAAACCCACAAAATGATAGTTGACCTTATTGAATTTAATTTTTATTATTAAATTACTTTAATTCCTTATTGAGCGTTTTGGATTTTTTTATTTATGAGATTTTGGGATTGAGTTTGTTTTAAGAAATTGATGATAGTTTTGTAATTTATTGGAAGTTCGAAGCTTCTTTGTTATATTGTAAATAGGCTTTGTGTGTATTTCTAAAGTCCATTTTATATAGAGTTTTTTTTTTATAAATAATTTGAGCCCCATATTTAGTATAATAGTGAATCTCCCTTTATTTATTTAACACGCCCCTCCTTGTTATGGTCCATCTGCATTATTTACTCTACTCCTCCCCAATGTTTTTGAGTGTGGTAAATTACAATATGTTACATATATTACTGTCCCGCCCAAATGAAATGGACATTTTCTTTACCTTTTTTTAATAACAATGTGGAAGGAGGGTTTCCAATGTAATTAAGGTTAGATTACATTATTAACGGTAATTAGTGTAACGGTCTTCTACATAAGTGAATAATTCCCATACATATTTGACACGAACATGACAATTATAAAATGTCGATGTTTCTAAAGCAAATGTCATAAAATTACTTAAAGATAAATCCACCATCGTTGTTACAACTAGTGCTCGAATATGTTTAAGAACATGCTCTATATTGGTCACGTTTAGTTCCTAATTATTTTATAAATAGTGGCAAACTAGTTATGTTACTGTGTCCCCCATTTGCTTCACATAATTCGTGGGTCACAATACTCTCTCTCTCCTGCATTATATCAAGAACCCTTTTCCATGCCCACAAAAAGTAAGTGAAAGGGATGTTTCCCCTTTTTAATTTGTTATGTTTTTGTTTAAGGAGGTCTACTCTCTATCAAAGTATGATGAAAAAGTTTCCAAGCCAGCAGGCAACACACATGGAGACATTCCCTATGCTGCTCTGCTAGGCTTGTTTGTAACTCAATTCTTTAGTCCATACCAAAAGCAGTGAAAATATAAAGAAAGGTCATCATTATGGATAAGGTTGAATGTAATCAAACCCTCTAGAAATAGTACGAACATTCTCATTATTCATCAACGGTTGGTAGTCGTCTATTAACATGAGTAACTATAACTCTTAGAAAAGCATCCCCACTTTGATTGGCCAAGTTGGAATTACACACAGTCGGGCTCTACATTTATAAGTGGGTGGAGAATTTTGGGAGAGACAAGAAGTCCAGGAGACCATCAAGTTTTGCTTTCCCCTTGGTACCAGGAATGTTGCCTGCTCTTGTTTGTGGCTTTGGTTTGCCACCAGCCCACCACAAAACACAACAAACTTTAGTGCTAGTGGTTTCTTTCTGGTTGGTGTGTAAAAATACTAAATATAAAAACTATACAATTATTCAAAGACCAAAAAAACCAAGTAGAATCTTGGAGAGCGTGTGCGCATTGCGGACCATGTCGTGTCCTGCAACTGTGGCGAATCGTTTTGCAACTGCCACGTAGGCAAATATACATATTCATACATACACACGTTATATTAATTATAATTATACGTACATGCGTTGGGAGGAGGGTTCCTTTCCTAGTGTTTTTCTTATTTGGGTAAGAGATTCTAGGTAGCTTTTTTTATATGTTAATTTAGTTTATTATAACATGAACACCATGATCAAGAATGTTCATTGATAAAATTAATCCCGGTAAGCAGCCCAATGTGGAAAGAAGAACTACTTTTCTACTTCCCAGATTTACAGTCCCAGAGAGAAAGACTGAGAGCCATGACTTTGTGCCTTCTTGTGGAATGGCACTTGCAGCAAGCAAATAAGCATGAGCCAAGAGGTAGGATCTGCCAAGAATTTCAGAAGCCCAATTCATGCTTTTGGGCCATGGCCTGGGTTGTATTTCTGTGGTTTGTTAAACAGGTTTTATAAGGGGATCAGTCTTGAGCCCGATTTTATATGCAGTATGATCTCTAGCCCGGCCCATACACAATCATCCCTTGAGACCAAAGTTAACACTCAAGTCACTGCTCAAAACAACTTGACATGTAACCTTAAAGAATATTTCACTATAATTTCTCAAAATCAATTGAAAGTTGAATGGAGATACAAATGTATGAATTTGAACTGTTCAAATGAATCCAGTGAACTCAGCTACCTGTTTAGTTGGAAAGCCCAGCTTTGAGGTTAGAGAAGTAAGATTTGTATCTCTGTGCTAATCCAAACATGCCTAGAGTGCCTCCAGTGTGAAGCATCACCACTGTTGCACCTCCTTCTGCTTCCTGTTCACGAAGGACCATTGACATCTCCCACGCAGCAAGTGTATACACTGGATCCACTAATATACCAGTTTGTTGTGCAATGTGTTGACATGCCTCGACCTCCCCTTCTAAAACATTGCCAAACCTGAGAAATTCGGGGCGGGTTTGAATTATATATTTTTTAAATAATAGTGAACTACATATGAAGAGTTGTATACATAGAATCTGGCATTTGCTTGCATGAATTAATACAAATCGTTTATGATTTTATATTTTATAAAGATAAATATACAATTGAAACATTGCAGAAGTTGTGAAGATGATGACAGCCAACTCACTTTCTTGGATGGCAACGTTCTACCCAATGCACAAGTCCTCTATCTATTTCATCAAAGCAGTGGTCAATTTGAAGACCAAAATGCCTCTTGAAATCGGAAATCAAACGCTTCTCTTGACTTCTATACCCATCAATTGTATCAGCCAGCATCACTGCAGTTACCTCCCATGGGAGCCTGACAGGAGGCAATAACAATATTTAAAATGCTGCAACAGAAAATAGTCTGCATCACTGCAGTCATTTAGATGATCATCTCAACACGCATGAAAAATAATAGATACGGGAACACACCCCAAACATATGGCTCCAAGTCCTAAGCCAACAGCTGTTGTCCCAGTTCCAGCATCTACAACAAGCTTCAAGGGCCTTTCTTTCCCAAGTATGTGATTCTGGGATAAGTACTGCACTAGGCGAATCAGGCCTACGAATAAGACAATATGAACTTCACTATCAATAACACCAAAAAATTAGGAGAAAGTAACACCAAGCCCTCAAAGATGTGCGGAATTACAGATATCCAGCATAAGAAAGAATGTTGGGGGATTGGGTGCAAAAACTAGATTGTGCTTACTTGACATGTAACCACTATATAACAACCCCCTCCCCCAATGGAAAACAAGAACACACAAGAGATGCAGACATGTATACATGGAAGTATAACCAAAAAGATGATTCTTTATTCTAAATCCAGTAAAGTTACCTAGTAATGCTACAACATCTCCTGCACCTTCGTTAACAATTACGATTTTCCGAGGATGGTCACTTCTATGAGCATCCTTTTGCAAAAAGCTCAGAGCACCATCATTTTCACTCAAAGAAGCCTTCAAAATATCATCAAACCATATGACACTACCAATGCTGCCTGCCAAATAATCAGCATGGCTCTTTAACATCATTTCCCTATTGGCATAAAGAGATCTTGGAACATATGTGACATTTCCATATATTGTTGAAATCAAGTTATAGCCTGTCAGTATTTCAGGTTGCTCTCCTCGTAGAAGTAAATGTGATTTTAATCCTCTCTCTGAACATGAAACAGCTGCAAAACACACAAGTCACCACATAGGAACTATTACACCAAAAGGAGAGAGAGAGAGAGAGAGAGAGAGAGAGAGAGAGAGAGAGAGAGAGAGAGAGAGAGAGAGAGAGAGAGAGAGAGAGAGAGAGAGAGAGAGAGAGAGAGAGAGAGAGAGAGAGAGAGAGAGAGAGAGAGAGAGAGAGAGAGAGAGAGAGAGAGAGAGAGAGAGAGAGAGTATCATATAGTAATTTGTCGAGAAATTACATACCAACAGCTGCCGCATGTGCACTTTGACAACCTCCACAAGTGACCTACAAAAAAAAAATCAGTTGAATGTTATTTGGTCTTCAAAGGAACTCAGTTTTAACGACTAACAATCCTGAAAGTGGAACACAAGTTTGCATATGCAATGCAATTCGCCAAATAAAGAATAGGAAATTTGCTATTAAATGCATCTAGAATCCAATAACAAAGCACCAGAATATGGAGACCAAATGAAGGGGTTACATTCTAGTTAAGTAACAAGCATTTCTGAGATGCAATTTAAATCTAATAAGGATCATAATAATCTCACCACATGAGTCACTGAGTGATCTTCGACAAGGGGAATCAATCCATCCAATTTTCTAGCTTTATTACCATTTATCAACGGATGCAACAGGTCATCCCTCACAATAAAGAAAGAAGGTTCCCGATCGTCCTTGTCCATCAAACCATGACTAAAAGAAGGGTTAATTTTGTTGAAGAAGGAAACATCAGAGAAGGCTCTGCCTGGTTGTGATACTTTGCTAGTGGAGAGCATTACTTGGTGAATTTTGGCATCTGGGTGGGGCAATGTCCATCTTCTATCAAGCAATTTTGACACAAAATCTTCACCATCCAATTTGACATTGGAAACACACTGACATGAGGGGCAAAACATTAATCAATTATCATGTGAATGAAAACTGAGCAGCAATATTTAACTAACCATAAAATCCAAAAAACAATACAACCCATTACTTGCAAGAGAAAACTAGCTCCAATTGTGCCTCTGTGTGACTATGGTTGTATGAGATAGAGAGAGAACCTGACTCTGAAAGCCGCGTTTGATTGCTGAAATGGTGCTTTTACTGGGAAAGCCTTCAACTTTCATACTCCTTAGGCCCTGTTTGGTGAGCCAGATTGGACAAGACTGAATTGGGGTTGGATTGTTAGACTGAGCTGGCTAGGACTGAACCAGACTTTGGAAGACCTATGTTTGGTGTTGTGTCAGACTAAAAAATAATTATTTAAATATTTAAATATAATAATTTTTAGATAATTAAATGTAATTTAATAAGATCTTAAAACTATGAACATACTTTCTAGATACCAAATTTACATGTAGATGTCAAAGTCAGAATTTCTCCAAAAAGTCATAACAAATCAAAAAGAAACCATTCCAAAAATGCCATCAAGCCCATTCATAGCAATTTGTGAATGCCACTATATATGTAAATTTCAACACCCATTCAAGAATAAATAATAAAAATCAATACCCATGTAGGAAAATTTCATTTCACAATATAAGTGGAATACATATTTACTCTCATTTGTCCTTACAAACTACTAATTCCTGGGCCTAACTGTGACTTGCATAAGTCTAGTATTTTGCTAGTTCTCTTCAGAAGTCATGATCTAAAAGTTTCATTCATTGTCAAAATATAAGTGCAAGCAATGCATGCCCTTGATGTCTTCTTCAATCACAAAAAGCCACCTACCAAAGTGAAAAAAAAAAAAAAAATCTATCTTAAGTATGTGATTACATTTCATCAGGCAAAGCTAACAACATAAATTAGAAACCTAGTCAATGATGACCGTACAGAGCATTTGCAGAGCATTTGATGACACCACATCTTGCTACTTAGCCAATTATAAGAGGCACTTCCAGCATCCAAGAAAAAAAGGCATTTACACTGAAGCAAGCAGCTAAGCTAACCAACCATGATTACACCATCAGCTTAAACTCTGAAATTATGCATGGCTGCCTACCCAAGTTGTTTTGACCTCCAAACAAGGGAAAATCTCTCAAGACTGCAAGTACACATAAACATCTCAAGTCTCATAAAATAGAACTTTGCACTTAAACGAATAATATAATATGTTTTTCTTTCCATTAGAGATGACAAAAATAATGCATATATTCTTCAAACATCCAATTGTTGGAAAAATTAAATTAAATTTGGACCATGAAATAAAATTTGGCACCATGAGATACATGAAAAATTCAGAAATTTGGTCTTGCATCTATTTATTACAAAACATGGGACATGTTATCTAATAGATAAGCTAGACTACTCAACACAACCTCAAAAAAGACTAAAATTTGGCATGTTTTGGTGCCAAACCAATGACTAAGCTGCCATTAGTCCTCCAATGAAGCAACTCTTGAGAAACTCACCACTACCTTTGTCTCGAATGCCCATGTGATAGCCAAGATCAAAATCAAGAATTGCATTACCACCCCATTGCATAACCCAACTGAGTGCCACATTTTAGCAAACAGTTGAAGTGCATGTTGTGCTATGGACTCTTGCACAACACCAGAAGCATTAAGCCCCCAAACCCAATTCTTCAAAGACTGAAACCTATTAATCTTATGAACAAAACCAATGGACTCTGACCCAGCAATAATGGCAACAAAATAAGACAAAGAAACAAGCAAACCTTTCGTGCGTTTGGGTTCAGGAATCTGTGATGTCGTTGATATCCACGATTGAAAACCCACAAAGCCCACTTCAAGTACAAACAGAGTCGTTCAATTGGTTGATGACCATGTTGTTCACAACATTCACAGGCTCTGTAATTTCAGGTGGCCTGAAAGCATCATCAGAAACAAGAAATTCACTCTTGCAATCAAGACCCACATGGATGGCGCCCTCAGAATGGATAAATATTTCAAGTGCTTCTCACTCCTGCAATCAAATCCGTCGTGAAGGTCAATGGCAGAATTGTGTGCAGAGTCGATACACGCTGCACCGAGATATCACGACGCAGGTGAAGAAGAAGAAGAAACTGGTTTGCGCTGTGTCGGACTCGCTTGTTCTATTCAGCGAGAGCGCTATTTTGCGAACCAGAGCTTCCATATGTTGAAGGTAAGCAATAACATTGAATCGCTTGATTCCTTGAAGAAGTCCCAGCCAGAACCAAATCCAACGATACTGGGCACGACGAATTATCCACCATGTCTGCTTCGAGTACTGAACTTACCCAATAGGCCTAATAGCCCAAGTCTGCATTTAGACTAATCTAAGCCACTCAAACGATCTGAACGCTTAAAACATGACAAGTCATATTTTATTTATTTTTATTTCCAAAACCTATTTAAACACTAAGTTAAGGGTTACAGTGCGTTTTTGAGAGTTCTTTGTGGTGCAATCGTCTAACTTAGTTTGCTGTTTGTATTGCAACAACATTGAGGTTAGTTTTAACGTGAACATGGTTTTTTTCTTTATTTTATGTTTATTTATTTATTTCTCCCTGGTTTGGAAGGGTGTTTCTTCTTGGTTTTGGAATTCTTTGCGGTTCTATAATCCAATTTAGTCTTATGGTTGTCTTGCAAAGTCCTATTAACGCGGATTTCATCGCCCATGTACAATTTAAACTGATTTTGGTGGTTATAGATTAAATGGCTCACTTTTTGTTTCTGGTCAGAACATGTTTGATAAAATGTCTAGCTCAAAAGGTATGCATTTAAAAAAATTGCTCTCTTTCTTTGACTATGGTGGAGAGCTGCGTCGGCTATGTATATTTGTTTGCTGGGATTCTTGTTTGGGACATAAGGAATTCACAAATATTAAGTAACTGATTCAGTCTTTTTTGGGTCAATAAGTAACTTATCCAGTATTTTCTTTGACTATGCTATACCTTCACAAATATTCCGCAGAATCTTTTTGGGTTTTGATTTGGGGTTTTCTAGGGTCTTTGATTTGGGGTGTGGGTTAGTTGTGTTTGCATATTTTGTTTATGCAAATTTCCATTACAATAATACTACGTAGTTGAAATAAAAAATTATGCTACTGCTATTTTGGCAAGTTTATTATTTTTGGTTTGAAAACTCTATGGCTGTTTTACATATTGAGTAATTGGTTTTTCAGTTTTGGGAATTTCATTGTTTGAGAATTTCTATTTTATTTTGTGATGCAAGATGCAACAAAAAAAATATCTACTACATCTATGAAGTGGTGCCCTGTTCTCATTGTTCAAAGCTCTTCTGCTACACTCCATAGATGTCTCTCTTTTGCTTTGTAGATAGATATCAGATTCAGACTTACACTGAATTTGACTATTTGAGGCTTCATCTGAATTTATTTGTTTACTTTGAAGTTTTTAAAGCAAATCATAAAACCCATAAACAAAAAGTTGTCTAGAGTTTTAAATAATTTGGTCTTGTGCAGAAATAGATCACTTAGAATAATATGAGCATGTGTTTCATCGCTGTAAAAATCACTGATTGTTGGTGGACCTTTCAGATTGCTATCATTCCTCTGATTCATTGCTGTAAAAATAACTAATATGTGCATGTTTCATTGCTGCATAAATAGACTTTTATGCATTTACATGAGCGGTTATCAGGCTTTTTAAATGAAGGTTGGTCAAGGAAGTGATGATTTAACTCTGTGCTCATTTATCTTGTATTCCTATTGGGGAATTTGCAGGTTTGTTAGAAGCAGGGCTAAACTCTGCAATTTCTACCCAAACTTTTATGTTTTATCTTGTATAGCACCAAACAACAGACTCAAAAATTCTGGTCCAATCCTAGCCAGCCCAATCCAACATTCCAACCCCAATCCTATCTTGTCCAATCCGACTCACCACGGCCTAAATTCCCGAAAGTTTATAGGGTTTAAGGTTTTATCAGTTTAGTCTCTAAACACCAAACCCCCACAATGAATTCTCACCGCACCATCACCGGCATGTCGCCGGAGCCATTCTCAGCCTCGGGTCGGGGCTCCGAGAAGCTGAGCTTGTCTTCGCTTCAGTCGAAGATGAAGTGCGACCCGGAGGGGTACGAGTCGGAGCTTCACCTGATCTATAATCAATTCAAGTCGTCGCTGGAGCTCTTCAAGCAACAAGCGGATCTTGGGTTCAAGTCGGTTAGCGGCATTGAGAATGACCCGGCCGTGGCGAAGGACCTCGGCGATCGGGCCATGTTCTTGGCTCACGTCACCCCTTTTTACCCGACCCATCTGGCCCATTTCCCCGCTCAGCTCGCCGAATTTCTCCGCTCCTCCGCCCGAACACTTCCGTCAGGGCTCCGCTTGCACGTCGCCCAAGCTCTCATCCTTCTCATGAATCGAAAGGTACATATAACGGATGTGAATTGTAGAATTTGTTGAAAATATTGGGACTTTAGCGTTGAGCTGTGTTTGGTTGCTGAGAAAGTGTGCAAAATACTAAAATTATCTTGCTTAATTCCAGTTTTTCCTTTTTGGTTGTGTTTGTAGATGGTGGATATGGGAGACAATCTAGCTTTGTTCATGGAGCTACAGACTTATGGCGATAAGGCATTGAGAAAGCTGGCATATTCTCATGTGGTTCATAGCATTAAGAGAATGAATCAGAAACATAAGAATGAAGTGAAGAATCGGGCGCTTCAGAATGTCTTGTTTGAGATGCTTCGGGTTTGTTAATGCGTTTTCTTTCTTGTCAAAATTTCAGGGCTTTGTTAGTCTGGTGCTTGAACTTGTATTTTCCTTTTTTTGCTTTTGTAGCAAGAGGATGAAACAAAAGCGAAGAGGGCGCTTATCGCACTACGAGAGCTTCACCAGAGAAAGGTGTGGTTTGATGAAAGAACAGCCAATGCGATTTGTACTGCATGCTTTCATCCATCGTCAAGGTATGCATTGTTCTTTTTGGTGGTTTCTGTGTCATTTGTAATATTGTGTGCGAAAGCTTACAATTTGTGTTTGAATTTGTCAGGATAATGATTGCTTGCCTCTCATTTCTGCTGGATTACGAGAAGTTTGAAGATGATGATAGTGATGCATCAAGTAGCGAAGATGAAGCTCCTCACACACCTCAATTAGTCCTTAATAGAGAGTCAATTTATAAGGTCAGTTTTGCACTATTTCTTTAATGTTATTTCCAACCAGTTTAGTTGATGGCACTAGGATTGAGTTACACTACTTTGGGGCATTTGATTGAATTCTAATGAGAACACGCATAAGTACAATCAACCGTGTTCTTTTCATTGTCTTTTAGGCACACCATCAAGGTACAATTGCTAGCAAGAAGAAAAAGAAAGCAAAACTACAGCGTGCCATGCGTAGTATGAAAAAACAGCAACGCCTGTCATCAGAAAAAAGTAATTCAAATTATCATACGCCACTTAATCATTTGAAAGATCCACAGGTTTGTCTGATTTTATCATCTAGCTCATATTTGTCAATCTTTCTCTTTATTAAGAAGGATGCTTGACAGTTCATTCTTCCTGAAGGGATTTGCTGAGAAGCTATTCTCCCGCCTTCAAACCTGCAATGAACGATTTGAGGTAAATAGTTACATTTGTAGAATTAACAAAGAACAGCATACATGTACACTTGTCTTTTGGAGAAAGTTTTATATTGCTCGCCCAATTATTGGAATACTATCATAGCAAATGAATACTAACTGTGTTGGATCTTTTAATTTTGGATTTTTTATTCATTCGGCTCTCAATTATGTCATAACAACAAGTAGAGCCAAACACTTATGTACGCGAGAATTTTGTGTATTGTTTCTATCTAATTAGTTTACATTGTTAATGAATTGATGTTGGACATTGCATTTTCATTTGTTTTGATTATATTACCCTGTGTTAACTTAAGGTCAAGATGATGATGTTGAAAGTAATTGCTCGCATGATTGGGCTTCACCGCTTGATTTTGCTGAATTTTTATCCTTTCCTTCAGAAATATATTCAGGTACATTATTTGACCCATTCACTGAATGTAATGTATTATTCTCTTGAGAGTTGAATTGTGACTATATTGGTATCACAGCCTCACCAACGCGATGTCACAAGTTTACTTGCTGCAGCAGTTCAGGCCTGCCATGATATGGTTAGTTGGATTTTCTGTATTATCTTATTGGACCTAGACACAATCACTTTTTCTTTCCTGTCCTAACTTTTATTAACTTTCTTAAAGTCCTACTGCTAATTCAAGTGAACCATTGTTCATTTACTAGTGATGAATTAACCTTTCTTAAAGTTAACTTTGATTTACTTTCTTATGAGCAGGTTCCTCCTGATGCAATTCAACCACTATTCAAACAACTAGTGAATCAATTTGTACATGATCACTCACGTCCAGAGGTGTTGCTTCATTAGCTGCTCTGTTTTAGTATATTTTTTTTAATGCCTTGCGTATATCTCTGATCACTTGCTTTTTCCAGGCCATAGCTGTTGGACTGAATGTAACGAGGGAACTGTGTTTACGAATTCCTTTGGTAACAACCTATTTAAACCATTCAACCAAAAAACAACCTATTTATACCATTTGGTTTCTGGCCTTGCTAATATTATGGGTATTTCATTTGAAGGCTTCCATAATTATTTTTTGTTTTGTGCATCTAGTTGATGACCGAAGATTTGCTGCAAGATCTTGCATTATATAAGAAATCACATGAGAAAGCAGTTTCAATAGCAGCCCGTTCACTTATTGGTTTATTCAGAGAGGTTCTCTCTCTCTCTCTCTCTCTCTCTCTCTCTCTCTCTCATATACATGGCTTATGTACCGGCAGTTCTGTTCTTACTCTTTGCTTTAATTATCTTGATCAATAACAATATTATTGTAAAAGCGGCAAGAAATGAGTCTAATGTCATCATATTGGGTTCCTCTCTACAAAAGAGTATGGAGAAGTCAACGTACTCAGCAATGTTCCTGGTGTTGAACTGCTAGAAGAGGATGATGGCAATGAGGATGGTGATGATGCTGATGAAGCTTCATTAAGCGGCACTGATGATGATCTTGATCACGATGAGAAGGTTGCTTCCAGTGATGATGAAGACAACCAGATAGCTAACAGTGTCAGTGGAAGTGAAGAGGATTCCGTAGTAGCTGAAGATGTAGATAGTGATGGTAGTATAGATAACAACGACAGTGATGTCAGTGGTGATGAGGATGATGAAGAGGATGAGGATGACAAAGACGAAGAGGATGAGGATGACGAAGACGAAGAGGATGAGGAGAATAAATCCAGCAACAATGATGCCAAAGATAGGGGAACTGGAGTAAAAGATAACAAAGCAAAAAAGAGGAAGGTTGCAGATTTTGATAAACAACTTACTGATGCTGACGCAAGTCTTCGTGCTTTAAAAAGATTGGCCAAAGAGAACATGGAGCACACTTCGTTGGACTCAACAGATGGTTTTCTTTCTAATGAGGACTTCCAGAGGATTAAGGAATTAAAGGTTTGTTTTTATTTGTTCAGTTGGACCCAAACTTAAGTTGATGCCAAAGGTGAAACATGTTGTAATCCTGTAACCTTGGGACATGAATAAAATTAATGTTTTTAATCTCTCGTAATCTTTACATTCTGACCTCTTGTAGATGTCATAAGTCTGTGTCCATTATTTGATTCTTCATTTTGCCAGGCAAAGAAGGATGCCAGATTTGCTTTGACTCAGCATGGATTGTTGAAAAAGGGTGCAGATTCCAAATCGCCAGCATTCAAGATTCCCAATTCGGATGAACTGAGCATTAAGCGCGTAGATCCTGCAAAGCTTGAAGTAAGTTTTAAATCATTTTACTGGTCACGCTACTGTCAGTATGCTTCTTCGGAGGAGTCTGTCACTGCATATAAGAAATAATGTATCCTAAGTAGAGATAAATAGATTGACAAAAAGTTTTTAGAAACGTTGGAATTCTTGATAAGTCCTATACCTGCATTATTTGCTTCAAAAATCCCTGTAGTTATTCTACTGGCCTTGGCGTCTTATAAATCCAAGGGAAGAGAAAACTTTAAAGCTTAAAAAACGCCACATTGTACCTTTCTTTATTTTCATTGACCCAATTGAGTCTCTACTATGTAGGTCCACGTGAAGAAAAGGATGAGCAAGGAGGAGAGATTGGCATTAGTGAGAGCAGGGAGGGAGGACAGAGGGAAGTACCAGGCTCGAGCTGCTATAAAGCAGAAGAAGGTATGTTAATTGGATCTCACTAATTGCCAGAATACTGTTAATGTATTTAGTACTCAGTTCACCTTAGTAATTGAATATTTGTGCTTGTCCATGTTTAACCGAAAGATCATTGCTTCTGCATTGGTTGTTAGATCAAATGCTTAGAATCCATGTCATCTCCCTTTTTCCTAACAATCGCTAGCTCTGACTAAAAAAGACTATATCTGGCAGAAGATGTCTATTTGTATCCATTTTACTTGTCATGTTTATTTTTTGGTCAAATTTTATTTATCATGTTTAGTGTTCTTAAAGCCTCTTTAATATGCTGTGTAATCCAGTATCTGGCATAGCATAGATCTTCACCATTCTTACTTTTGCTTTTAAACCTTTCTGGTTCCTTCTATGATACAACTAGTAGGGGATCATATCATCAGAAAAATAAGGAGAAAAAAATAAGTGAATAGTAAGTTCCATTAAGGTCATGCTGCGACATTGAACTTCTTTAACATGTATTTTCATGAATGCCAACAGACGGGTGGTATGAGCAATCGGCAGAAGGAACACAAGAAACCCATGCCTCTTGCTGCAAAGAGGGCAAAGGTAGCTAAATCTCGTATAGATAAAAAGAAAAAGCAGCAGCGAGCTGGCAAACAATTCCGAGGGAAGAAAGCATGGAAATGAGGAACCTCATCAGTTTTATCTTTTTCTTTCATCCCCCTACTTTTTACTTGCAAGTAAATTGTAAGAGTTTGTTATTTATGAACAAGATGCCATTGTTTTTCCTTAATGAGGATGCCCGTTTGTAGTTGTGGCTGCCTCAATTCTCAAAAGAGACGTTTATAGGGTTCTGTATTCAAAAACTTGTGAAAGATTTTGATGACACTTTCAAGGCAAGAATATGTTCGGCCATAAATTTTCTTCAACTTTTATTTAACGTATTGTAGGAAACAAAATTCCTACGGATTCAGACCCAACTTCCAACGCGCATTTTGGTAAGTTCTGTTTCTCTATAATTTTGATTAAAAAAATGTTACTTGTTATATTGTATTCAAAATTGTATTTTCAATATCATAATCAGTTGTTAATTGAAAATGAAACACCGCCCAGGAGCTGCTCCATGGACGATGTAATGTCCCAAGTGAATGTGTAGAGACGATAGAAACCATAAGAAAACTATCATTACGGCATCAAGGAGTTGTTTTCTATAATACAGCCTACAAATCAAATTTAGGGCAAGGGGGGATCAAAGGGGAAAAGTAAAGAAAAATGGGAAGGGAATAAATCAAAGGACCCAGGATTTAACAGAACAAGCTTGGCCAAGAGACGCCTTACTCTTCCCCAGAACATGAGGGCAAATCACTAGTCTGGCCAAAAATATCAGGAATTCCTTCCCAGTTCTTCTTCTCCCTAGTTTCCCAATACCCACCTGCATAACTATAACAACCATCCTCGTCTTTTCGAAACCATCTTGGCTGCCAACCTCTCTCTTGCAACTTCCTCGCCTGCATCACAAAATTATCAACAGTTGCTCAATACATTATTACTTCATGTAAGAAATGGAAGAATCAGACCCGGAGTTCTAAATCTCGGAGTTTCAAGGTTATAAAACACTTTTACTTTTGGCTCAGAATTAGATACAAGGATGCATAAAACAGGAGGGGGATACCTGTCTTTGTAGCTGTTCTAGTCTTAGTTTCTCTGCATTTGCCAATTCATATTCACCGTTCTCCAAATGTCTTTGATCTGGCCTTAGCCTTGAGTCTGATGGAGGTAATTTCTCCAATAAGCCAGGTGTTAATTCATTCAGAGATATTGCAAAAGGAGAGAGATTGTATCTTGTCTTGGTATCATAGTTATCTCTTTCCCAGAGCAGCACGGCCTCTGTCATTGGATCATAACCCTTTGGTTTTGTAGTTGGATCTCCCAGCACATAGTACATTGCCTCGTCCCACTTGCCCACCAACATTGCTACTTTCTCTCCAGTTCTGTTGTCTTGAACAAATCCATGAACCTGGAATTTTATGAAGAAGGTCATATATATGTAATACCCGTTTTACCCCCAACAAGGGCAAATTTAGCACCATTTATGATTTCTTTGTTTGCGCATAAATCAGGCCTAAACAATAGTATAACTTAAGCATAGAGTAATCCAACAGTCTCTCTACTATAGTGAAAATACAAATACCTCCCCCCTGTATTTTTCAAAAATTACTGTGACCTCCCTGACATTCAGAAGTAGTGAACTCTTAAGACTTGAGACTTCAAACATATACTTCTTCCCATGTAAAGCAGAAAGAAAAATAGACTCATGCAACGCACCAATGGGAGGGAAAATGATGAAATGTTTGCTGTCATATATTGTGCCAGTTATCCTTCCTTTTGCAATCACTAAACTAACCTGATGTGGATTTCGGTCTATGATAGACTGCTCCTTGAACTTTAGCTTGCAGGAGTAATTGCCACTTCCCTTGATGCGCATGGTGCCATAGTGATCACAATAAATTTTTCCTAGTATGATATTGTATATAGAAGTAGTAACCTTGCTCCACTGAAAAGTCTCCCCGTCCTCAAACTGCAAGGAAAGGACACCCACAGGATCAAGCTGAATAGAACGCCCCCAAAACTTGCCCTTGAGATTGGAGTCCGCCCAGAATTTCCAACCTCTGCCTTCACAGTGACAAGCAACAACCATTGGGTGGTGACTCACCTGAGTGCAATCTCACCTTTGTTAGACAACAATCAGTAAGTCATTAAACATTTGACAATTTGCTGAGATACTTCCAATTCAATGAGTCCAAACAAGAAGAAGCAACAAAGGGCTGCTTTTATCTTTTATCATTTTTCATACTTAAGGAATAGAAATCTAGCAAAAGGACCTATTAGACATCAACACTAAAATTGTCAACATGCATTACCTTTTCAGAGAAAAAACGAAGTCCTTTATCTGGATAGTCAGCTTCATAGGTCTCCCCAAGAAGAGGATTAAAGGGTTTGCACTGCCGACCTTCTGTTGATGCATAGCCAGAAACAGCAAAAGCTGCAACGTTTAGAATTCTCATTAAATCATTCCCCTGCAGCACATGAAGTCCAACGTTTAGATACAGAAAAATCTGGAACTTTTACAATGGAAACTTGGTTGATCCAGTTATTCTCATCTCTCCTTGAAAAAATACAGGAACTGATGAAGAACTAACCTGCTTTCCCCATTCCAATGCTCGATCAACCAAGTTCGAATACTCCAGATCTTCAAAGCACTTTTGTAACGAAGAGAGGGGTTCATTAAAATAAACAGGAAGACAGACTCCAGACAAGTCCTTCCCAATATTATCCTTGATAATTGACCACAAGCCAACAGGTTTCTCTTTCTCCTTTGGTTCTGGAAAATTATCCCTCCTTTTCACATATGGATATTTAACTGTCCGGATCTCCTCAATTCCATGCAATCGATCAGAAAAGAAGGAATCTCTATCATATAAACAACCATTGCCCAAACCTTCCCTACTCCGATAGGAAGCACTTCTTAGAGTATCTGAAGACAAAATCATGTGTATCAAAATATGTTCCTTTAAAATCAAAAAAGAAAAATCTCATCATTTACACAACCACTTCTCATACCTTCCCTACTCCGATAGGAGGCACTCCTTAAAGCATCTGAAGACAACATATCATGCGTATCAAAATACATTCCTTCATCTTCATCTGTTTCAACATCTGCTCCATCTTGACTTTCATTATCTGCGTCAGAGTCACTTGCACTGCCCTCTGATAAGACGGAGTAGAAATCTGTGGCATGAAATATCGTTGCATATTATATCAGGAACTGAGTGTGGTGTGCAAAACCTTTTGAGTAGAAATAAAACTAAAATAATTGAAATTCCAAACATGACTAACCACTAAATCTCCGATTCCCCTGTCCGCAGTAGGACTCACGCTCCTTTGTTTCATCTACTACTGTAGTCTCCAGCTCTATTTTCTCCGTCTGCAAAATAAAATTTAGTTAGGGTTTTACTTTCCGAACTAGGAAGCGTTGCACCACCACATATGGCAGCACATGTATAAAACAGAAACTGAGTAACCAGATGCATGGAAATCTGGTAAAACGCAACACTGCCAGCATATATTCAAATTATTAAGCTGAACAGGATGGAAAGAAATACCTCCAATTGTCTCAAAGTGTCTAACAACATCACATGTTTACTCTGAAGAGTCTTCAACTGATTTTGCAGCTCGGAGACTTCTAAGAGCATAATTGACTCGCAGTCTTTGATCACCGGCTCACCAACACCCTCCTGTGCTAATCTTAATCTAAGCTTCTCTGTTGAAACAACTATATCTTCTGAAGGTACTAAATCATGGCTTGTCAACACTCTAGGGAAAAGATCTTTAGCACCCAGCAGTGCCTCAATCCATGCAGCTCTGCCCTCTCTAGATACACAACGCAAGTGGAGAGTTTTAGTTCCTGTGAATATGGAAAGCCTTTTATCATCTGATTTGCTGGCACGAATTGAAGAGACCTGTAGACCAGACCACTTCAAATTCAGTAACCAATAACTCAAAAGTACAGATCATGGGCACATATTTTTGTACATCATCATGCAAAACACAAGTATGTACAGTACTTACATCACAACTCAAAAAACGTCGTGCAAACATATTTGAGTTCTTGTTGGGTTATTCAATATTGAGAGAGGATTGGGCATCAGAAGGCTAACATTATTGTGCTCGCACAAGTATGTGGCATTTTCCATTGGGTTATCACAAAATAAAATTTACTACCAATCTGGTCATTGTCCATGAATCTAATATACTTATATGAATCTTACTCATTTCCGGTCCTTATATGCATATATATATATATATATATATATATATAAACTTACCCATTAAAAGTGCTAGAATATTAAACAATTTTTGTAGCTTTCCAGAGCCACCATTCACATTGCAGCAACAAGTACACAAACTCAACGAAACGACGCAGATAAGCCAAAGTTAACTCGATGCTTTCTCAGTTGCTAAATATATCAGTACCAATAATAGCATTACTAATATAAATGTCTGCGATTAACAAAAGCCAAACCTTCAAATGGACTTCGCCGAAAGGCTTGCACCGCCTCGCCGGCGCGCCAAGCCGACTATTACTCCAATTAGCCTTCTTCATATACCTCAACGAGTCTTCTCCGATCACCCTCAAGCCTTTCTCCCGGACCGGGCTCATCAAAATCTTGTCCGGTCCGTGAACCTTGTAGTACGAAAGCACACCGTCTTCGAGCACAAACCACCTCGACCTCCATCCCTTCCCGTAGTTCACCCACTTGTACAAAATCCCAGCCACGCTGCCACTGACGCCTCCATTGATACCAAACACCTTCGAATCCCTAGCTTCGCTGATCGTATCTTCAACCTCGTGTCCCGCAGTAACTGAAGCCCTGTCAGATTCGGTACCGGCCAACGAGACCTGAGCCGAGTAGCTCGGCTTCGAGCCGTAACTCACGTTTCGGATCGGAGCCTCGGGCCCCAACTGGCACTGACTTGACTGCTTCTCCGCGACCGGACTGGCCCGGTCCCGATCGATCGAAACCGGCGCAATGCAGCACAGCGGGTTCATAGTGAGCACTACCAGACCATTCAATCAAACAAATCGCTCAAATGCAAATCCCATCCACCGATGCTGATCAAACGGCTCCGATTGATGGAAATGCAGAACCCGATCGCCAACGAAACGTTTCGGAAATGACATAAAGCTGTGCCTCGAAACGGAGCCTCTGCTTGTAGCCTTCGTAGCCTTTGTAGCCTTGTACAAATCTCAGAGAGAGACTTATGAAGAGCTCTGCTGCGCACACAGATCCATTTAAGACACCTCTGCTGCGCTGCTGCTCAGTAATTAAACTTTTTTTTTCTGTGCGAGCGTAGGTTAAAGTTTAAACACACTTTAAAAGCTTAATTTGTGTCAATTAATAATAATTAAAGGCGCGATGCAATTTAATTATAAATGCATGGAGGTTGGTTTTTGGGTTTTTGGGGGCATAATTGTGGTGGAGGCAGACAGGCGACAGCTAACATGCGCATTTGTGCACAGGTAGTGATTGGGTGGGGAACCATTCGTCCGGTGGGAGCTATGAAGCTCCGTCTGAAATGACGTTACTGCCCTTCTCCGTTTGGCGCAATCGTTACGCGGGCTGATGACCATTGCGGGGTTCGGAACGGCCGCGTTTTGGGATAATTTGAAAGCGATTGGTGAAAGTGGAGGAAAGGGAGGGTTTGATTGCGTGTGTGGGAGAGGGATTGTGGGCGGTGGAGCTTCGGGGCGCTTGGGCACTGGTTGTGCTTATCGAGTGGTTTTTGTTGACTTGTTATCAGTATGTTGGAAGTGATTGGCTGGGTGAGGTGCCACCTGGCGGAGGTCGTTTTGTCTGGGATTCCAAAAGTGCAAAGGTTGTGTGTGAGATTCAATAATTACAATGATTACGTGTACGCAGGTGATTTGGATTAGTATGAGACAAAATGTTATCTCATCATGTTTAAGGTTGAATGTTAAATACGTTATTTCCAGATGGAAACACAGAAAGTTACGACTATAGTAATTACGAGGACCTACCGTGATCGATGTTTTTAGAAAAACATTGGCCTATTTTATTATAAAAAGTATATATATAAAAAGAAACAGACTGATAGAATAGAACCTCGTTGTTGTCGCATACCCAAAAATCATCAATCCTAATGTATTAAAAAAAAAATATTGATGATTGTAATTTTATCTCCATCACTTAGCTATTCAACAAACTATATTTGTTATACATTTTTTATGTGTAGATTAAGGTCCCGTTTCAATTGTTTTTTCCATCAAATATCTGTTTCACTTTAAAATTAATGAATTTAAGGTATTTGGTAAAAATAAAATATCATTATTATTTTAAATGCAATTGCCTTTTGACATCAACTTTAAAAAGAATAAGCGATAAGCCTTTAATAAAAAATTTCAATTCTCATAATATCATTATTTATTTTTTAATATGACATCGTCTACCACCACCACCATCAACTCCTCCATCTCCACCTCCATCTTCATCATCACCACCACCACCACATGATTAACACATAACACTTTCAACATTATGTCTATTTTAGTCATTATTCATAGTTACAGTAATTTTACATTAAAATTTACCAAATGGTTTTGACACAACTTTTTATACTAACAACATCTCAAAAATATTGTTTACCAAACATGAAACTGCTTTACTTTATAGATGATTATTTTCAAAGCACTGCGAAAGCTGCTTTTTAAAAAAAGCAATCCCAAACTTGCATTACTGACATCAAAATGATTTCTTCTTCTTATTTGCATGTGAATGTTATGTTTATTAAATTGAATGCAAATTTCCTCTATATTTATAAAGCAAAAAATCTTTATGGTTAAATTATTTGAATAACCAAAATTTGCCCTTATTTAATAGAAGTTTACAAAATAAATACAACAATTTAATTTTTAAATGGACAAATACGTGGTACACTAATCTATTAAAATATAAATAATTAAAAACAAAATAGAGTTTATATTCAAACAAAAAAATAAAATTAGAGAAAAAAAGAGTAAAAAAAAGTATTTATAGACAGACGCGTAAGTGCGGATCAAATTAAACACAACACAATTTGCATTGCCTTTTTATTTTATAACTAAAATGTAAACGGAAAATATACTTGGTTTGATTTGATTGAATAGTTGGGTGGGACCCACTGAGAACATAGGTAATGATTTTCACAAGGCACGATTAGACCTCAAACATGCACTTTGTTTGTTGTTAGAAATAAGGGGCGGAATTTCGACGGTAGCGATGGAGAGTTTGGTTTGGGCCTTTGAGGTCGGGGCTATATGGCTAGTGGGACCCGGTCTTTGCAATTTTTTATTTTATTTATTTATTGGTTATGCTGAAGTGGACTCTGTCCTCCCTTTCGAGCAGCTTTTGTCCACAAAATTACTAGTAAGTTGTAATGATGCGAGAGGTAAAAACCTAGGACGAAGAAAAGCAGTGAAAATAAAATAAAATAATTATAATTATAATTATGTATAGTCGTCGTCCTAGGTGAGAGGCCTGCAGGGATCTATTGCGCCCTTTGCCGCCATAACAATCAATATTAAGATCCCCATATTCAATTCCATAACCAACACCACCCCCCCAAATCAAAAGTGACAAGTGTCATTTATAGATAGGATTACCATTGAACTTGTCTTCTCCAAGTCTTCGTCAAACAAGGCCTCATCTTTTATTTTTATAGCTACTCAAGTAGCTGGAGATGTATAGGGCACAAAAGTAATGATGATCAATGTTGAAAAAAAGGGACAATTAAACTTGATATACTTTCTCAAGTTCAAGAAATGTTTACGGAAATCAAATGTAAGTTATGTTAGTTGGTTAAAACAGTATGCTCGTTTCTTTGCACTCGAGTTTGATCTCCCATTGAATATACTATAGTAATTTAGAATAGCGATATTGAGTTCAATTACATTAGAATAATTTAATATATCGAAATATGCCGTGACTTATGTTTTACATCACGAGTTTGAAAGTCGACCAAGAATCAAGATCGTCAATATCGAGAAAGTTTATAGTACAAGTGCACAAGTTACAAGTTACAACCACCGACGGACCATTTCGCTATATATAATCCGCGGGTCTCATAATGACTCCCGCCAGAGCCAAAATCTGACCGTTGCCAGGTGTCCAAATCGAACGGTAAGAAACCGACGTCATATCAAAAGAAACCCAAACGACAAAAGGTAACCAGCCAAAAAGAGAAGCGAGATTGATAAAAGAGAAAGCAAGGGGGGTCACTGTCGGTGTGCCGTTGTTTGATTGCCAATAAAAGCATCGAATCGGAGAAAAACGCAGAGAAACAGAGCAATGATGATGCAGTTGATGAGAGCTGGCGTTGAATTCAGTTTCCATGGTCGTCGTTGAAATGGGTGGAGCATCAATCACAGTCACCAACTGCTGCAAGCTACCAAACTGTGAGTTGAGTCGCTGCTTTCGCTTCCGATCCAAGTGTGCGTCGTCATCAACAACGTCAACAGCACCAGCTTCCTCTTCGGGTTTTCTGTTCTTGCGCTCTACAAAGCGCTCTTCACGACCATGATCATTTCCCTTACGCCCTCTATTGGATCTCAGCTGCAGATCCACCTCCGCCATTCAAATCAAATCCAAGCCCGTTTTCAATCTTTTTCTCATGGACCCGGCTGCTCGCCCCGCTGTAGTTATCGACAATGGCAGTGGGTACGTATTTACGCACACAACCTGTTCGATGGAATGCCCCAATTGACTTTGTTTGTGTTTTTCTATTGAATTTTGATTTACACGCACTACGCACCACCTGTTTGTCAGAATTACCCAAAAAGGAATTTTATTCAATATGTGCATTTCCATCCATTTTTGTAGGTATACTAAGATGGGGTTCGCGGGTAATGTCGAGCCGTGTTACATTGTTCCGACTGTAGTTGCCTTAAATGAATCGTTTCTGAACCCGGCCAGAACCTCCTCCAAGGCTGGTTGGCTAGCGCAGCACAATGCTGGCGTAATGGCTGATCTTGATTTCTTTATAGGTGATGAGGCCCTGGAAAGATCTCGATCTAGTACAACTTACAATCTAAGCTATCCCGTTCGCCAGGGTCAGGTCGAGAATTGGGATTCAATGGAGCGGTTTTGGCAGCAATGCATATTCAACTATTTGCGTTGTGATCCTGAGGACCACTATTTTCTTTTAACTGAGAGTCCACTTACTGCCCCTGAGAGTCGCGAGTATACCGGCGAAATTATGTTCGAGACTTTCAATGTTCCTGGCCTTTACATTGCCGTGAATTCGGTACTTGCTCTTGCAGCTGGTTACACAACGTCTAAGGTTGGTATTGAATTTTTTTGTGTTATAGATTACGTGTGTGTTTATCATAAGTTAAAGAGTGTTAGGAAGTTCATCGAGTTCTATGCTATTCATTAAATTGTAAATTACTTTATCTGTTGCCTGTATGTTATGTGAAGTGCTAGTTTATGTGTGTTATTATTATTTTATCGTTTTAGTATCTCTTGATCGTTTCCTCTTTGATTGACCTACAATTTTCTCAGTGTGAGATGACAGGGGTTGTGGTAGATGTTGGAGATGGAGCAACTCATGTTGTACCTGTTGCAGAAGGTTATGTTATTGGGAGCAGCATCAAGTCAGTTCCTATTGCTGGGAAAGATGTAACTCTCTTCGTCCAGCAGCTTATGCGGGTATGCTGTCTTCTACTCTTACTACTACTAACTGTTCATTGTTTTTTTTTTCTTCGGAATCCCATTATTGTCAGTTGCATTCTTATTACCTTTGTTGACATCAATATAGTGATAAGCTAGGGTTATTAGTTGGAAACCATACAAGATGGGGTATATGAACTTTCACAAAAATTCATTCTTAATGCAATTACACTATATGGCTAGTTAAGAGTACTGTAACTAAGATTTACAAATGAAGTGTTTGGGTAGTAATGATTATTGCATTATGTGCAGGAAAGAGGAGAGAATGTGCCACCAGAAGACTCGTTTGACGTAGCTCGCAAAGTGAAGGAAATGTATTGCTATACTAGTTCTGACATTGTCAAGGTCACCTTTTCATCCTTTTTTTTGCAAGACCTTGTTACAAATGGATGTAGTTTTTCTTTATACCTGCTGTAATTAGCTTGACTGATTATATTGCAACTTCACAACTTCTTATGTTACACTTAGTCTATTTTCGTTAATCTATTTTTCAATTTGGAAATTGATTGATGAGAAAATCTGTTTTTCCAATGATTGCAGGAGTTCAATAAGCACGATAAAGAACCATCCAAGTATATTAAGCAATGGAGAGGCATTAAACCAAAGACAGGCGCACCCTACTCTTGTGACATTGGCTATGAAAGATTTCTTGGTCCAGAGGTTTGCTTTCTTCCTCCTCGCCCAAGGAATTTTTTTTTTTGGCAAGATTAAGAGGGGAAATTGCTCCTGAATTTCTTCTCAATGACTGCTTGTTACTAACATTTGCTCCGCTAATTTTTCTCGACTTTTTTATATTATAACAGGTTTTCTTTAATCCTGAGATTTATAGCAATGACTTCACCACTCCCTTACCAGCTGTAATTGACAAGTGTATTCAGTCCTCGCCAATTGACACTAGGAGGTCTTTGTATAAGGTGAAGTAGGCTTTGGAAATTGTTCATAGATGAGATAATTTAATTGAAGCAATAAGAAGTAATATTGTGTGTGGCTCAAATGTGGTGACTGAGCCTTGTAATGGGTTCAGGAACCATCACTGAATGGTCTTTGGACATAGGTTGAATTTTGTTAACTTCAGTTATGCCCTTCTATCTAAATATTGTTTTCTGCAACTTCATTTGACTGCATAATCATTTGATTCTGATTTGTTTTCTTATTTAAACTTTAGCATTGATTTCTTCCTATGTTCATAATCTAGTGTTTGAAATGTTTTTAGTTCTAAGGTCCAGACAATCACATGCAAGTTTTTTTTTCTTATGTGAATTTCGCCAAAGATTATGTTATTATGACCTGATGCATTTAGTGATCTTCGTTCTTACATTTAAGATTTCTTTATACAACTTATTGATTAGTCTTGTTATTGTTACTGTTACTGTAATTCTCAGAATATAGTGTTGTCTGGAGGTTCAACCATGTTCAAGGACTTCCATAGGAGGTTGCAACGGGATATAAAGAAGATTGTCGATGCCCGGCTTCTTGCATCTGAAGCTCGAGTTGGTGGGGAATTAAAAGTAAGCAATTTTATTTCAGATGTTGTGCAATGTATAATTTATCAATAAACTTGTCAGCGTGTGCATTTTTTTTTTTTACAATAAATATGTTTGATTTTTATTTTTGTTTGGGCATTCAGTCACAGCCAGTGGAAGTAAATGTGGTCAGTCATCCCATCCAGAGATTTGCAGTTTGGTTTGGAGGCTCTGTACTTGCATCCACACCTGAATTCTATGCGGTATGAAAAAGAAAAATAAAGAATTTCTGTTAATGCAGGCAGACAATCTCATTATTCCTCTATTACTTTCTCCCTATGTCCTGAAACCCTCAAATAATCTTCATGTCGCTATGGGGCTTGAAACCCTTAGATCATTGTTTTACAGATGGGGTTTTTGACTAATTGAATATATAATTTTATTGGTTCACTCACTACCGATTATGAGTTCTGCCAGTTAAAACAGAGATAAAAACAAGTATTATCTTATTATATTTGCACGATGCGGAAGTCCATATAATTTGACACTTGGGATCAGAAAATAGATTGGTCTAATTTTTGTGTGGAAATGGTATGCTATATTTGGCGGTTGCTTCAGAAGGAGCCCCAAAAAGCCACACTAATTTCAGAACTAGGGGCTCTGTGAGATCAAGGTGTTTGTCCCATTTGTCCCTTCTAGTGCCTTTTGTTATGATAACTTGAGCCATTTTATTTAGCAATTGAATAGCATCAAGGGGAACTTAGTTGATCATGGATGAGGAGACCATCTCCTCTCTGAAACAATGCATACACGAGTGTTTGATATTTCTGCAGCCACAGCATTTGATGCTGAGCTTTCACCTTGTTTTTCGCTAATATAAAACTGCCCCAAGTTTTTGTCATTGTTCTCTTTCCAAATTTTTACTGTTGATTGAGGAGTTTCTTTCTGTACAGGCTTGCCATACAAAAGAAGAGTACGAGGAATATGGTGCGAGCATATGCAGAACAAATCCTGTTTTCAAGGGTATGTATTGATGAAAACATCAATTTTGGCCGGATCACATGCCGGCAATTCCCGATAAAAAATACGTCTCTTACATGCTCAGTAATGCATTTCCTGATATTTATGTATGCATGTGCTGCTAGAGGCGGTTTGTAATATAATTACTCAGTTAATCTTAATTTTGTAAGGGATGTGGGGTTTTTTTTTGTAATGATAATTTCATTTAGGGGGCAATAGGTCACTTAGAAACCAATAGGAAATAGTCTCTGCGGTGTTGCATGTCCAAGTGGCCCTGAAGGATCAGATGAGATGAGATGAGAATCGTGATTTGGGCAAGAAGACAAGAACCTGGCTGAATTGCAGTTTTGGTGTTCAGCTTAGAATAGAGTTTGCTCAAGATTATTATTAGCCTTTCATTCTTTTTCCCTCGACTGATAATTACACCGTAGTACACTTCAGGTAGGCCTATTCTTTTGAATTGGATTGTTGTAGTACAATAATTTCTAATTTGACTTTTTAAAATTTCAAGAAATTTGTCACAAATTGTGTGTATAACTTCATTTTGTTTAATACGATTGTTAGTTTAAATCGCTAATCTGCTATTACAGATCAAATGTCAATTACGTTGTCTTGAAATTATCTGAGCATCTTTGTCCACAATCCAACAAGAAAAAAATAAACGAATAGGGCACATCAAAATCCTTATACCGCAAACTTATAATTACGTCCCATCAATTTTGTATCTTTTGTTTGTATTAGACTGTTCCCATGAATTTGTCATCAGGTTGTTCTTGGGGCCTTAAAACTGGCTCAGCCCAGCAAAAGATATTTCCTTTCACTAGTCCTAATTACTCTAATGTACACGGAAAGGGGGGATGCAAGCACGCTACTTTAATCAAATTAAAAATTATTTATGAGTGCTGTTATTTCCACCTCATTGTACTATTTTCCCACCCACCGTGTAAATTTGAAAAAACACAATCCTGCTCATCGAAAAAGAGAAAAAAAACACAATCCTAATTTTCCACCCACCATTATTCTTAAAATACCCTTTGATTATAATTTAGTACTAAATTATGAGATGGCATATATGGGACTCACCTTCTTAAACTTAAATTGATTATAGTATTAATAAAACATTTTAAAAACTAATTAAAAATAAGAAAAAGATTTATAATAAAAATGAAAACCACTAGGAGCCACTTGGGAGGACAAGACACATGCATCTGGTGAAATTAATGGGGTATTGTAGCAACAAAGGAGCTCTCAATGATAACAATAGGAGGCAAAGGCTCATCTCGCTCGAGCGCTGGATTAACTAACTTTGCGATCCCAAAAACATGTCTGATTCTTGAATCATTTGTGGGTTTTCTTCAGTTGGTGGTGGTGTAATAAATCCCTTGTCATATCTGAATCTTTCTCTTATTTGGTTTTAATGTTTAATGTTTTTTTTAAATTCTTTAAAAGTTCAATGAAGTTATCTCACTTTGATAAAAAAATAATAATAATTTTTTAAAAGTTATTTTATAAAAGAGTAAATTTGACTTTAAAATTTTAAAAATAAGATGAATGAAAATAAGAGACGGGTGAAAATAACAGCACTCTTATATATTTATTTGTTATATTTGAAGGCATCAGTCATGAGAGTAGCACTCGGTTTTGATAACGCGATTTGTGTGGTGGAGAGCAGAGCACAGCGTTTTAACATTTCAAAAAGAATGAAGTTTGACTATTAAAAAAGAAGAAGGGTCAATCAATTTTGTTTTAGAGAGCCTCAAATCTTACCCTTTTACTGTTATAAAGAAATAATAAGAAGATTATCGCGTATTTACAATTTGCAATTTAGAATTTACAGACCACCAAGAGGAGAGAGAGAGAGAGCTTAGACTTGATCCGAATGGGTGTTCTGTTTTCACTGTAGAAATCGCGTAGAAAATAATTGAAAAAGAAAAATCCAAAAACAAAGGGAGGAAGAAGGAAAAGAATAGCCGTAGTTGATACTTGATATTGATGAGAAAGGGGACGCTGTGGTAGCTAAGAGACCTCAAGACAAAGCACACGATAGTAAGACAACCTCTGCAATCTATGTTCCAATCTCATCCCATGATTCTTTTCGTATCTTTTTTCTTTTGTGCATTGTCTCTCGATTACTTTATTAAACGTTTAAGCTACAGATTTGGTACTTTTTTTTTTCTATGTTGCTTTAAGGTTAAAATCTCGGGTGGGTGTTTGAGTTTTCTGTTTCTTCCGTGAGATTTGCCAAGTGGGTGTTGTCTACTTACCTGTTTTTCCTTATTGTGGGGCTTGCTTATCTGGAATTTCATTTCCTTCCTGCGATTTTATCAAGTGGGGTTTGGTTTTATTTTCTCTGATTGTTATTTATGATTGCGATGTCTAATTTACCAAGTTCGGTCATGGAATATGATTTCCAAAGTGAGTTTTGAATTTGATTTATATTTTCTTAGCAATTTTTTGACAAGGGTAATTTATTCGTTATGATTTCTACGGCTGTGCTGGGTGGATGGTGGACATTTTGTTGCTGCTGTTGTTTTCTTTTGATGATGTTATTGATTTCTCATGGTTGATGGTAGAAATTATACTGTTTTGTATTTGATTGATTGGATGCTAAAACATCTCTTTTTAATTCCCTTTTCAGCAAGCATCACAGCTTTCTACTTCTCTTTCTAGTATCCTCATAGTTTCATATTTCATACCTCCTTTTCAGGCTGTATGTCTGTGATACAACTTTTTGGATCTTGGGGTCCTCTTTCTTATTCTCTGTGCTTAAGTTATGTATGTATTCAAATCTGTATTGGGTCTAAGAACGGTTCTGTTTCTTACTCTCTGTGCTTAAGTTTTGTATGTATTCAAATCTGTATTGGGTCTAAGAACGGTTCTGTTTCTTGCTTCTGTAATCATGTAGGTAGAGATATAGATTGTTCAACTTCATTCGGATATAGATTGGTTGTTCTAAATGGATCCAATGGCTGAAGAGCAAATAGATTATGAAGATGAGGAATATGGAGGGGCTCAGAAGCTTCAGTATCAAGGAAGTGGAGCCATCTCTGCGCTTGCAGATGAAGAACCCATGGTAGAAGATGATGAGTATGATGATCTCTATAATGATGTTAATGTTGGAGAGGGTTTCTTGCAGATGCACCGGTCTGAGGCACCACTCCCACCTGGTGGTGTTGGCAATGGAGGTCTCCAAGCACAGAAAACTGATGTTACTGAAACAAGAGTTCAAGCTGGTGTCTCTCAGGAATCGAAAATTTCTGGGGGTTCAGTTCAAGGGAAGTATTCTAGTGCTGTGGCCCAGTTTCCAGAACAACAGGATCAGCCACCAGTGGCTAAGGAGCCAGAACTGGGATCCACAGGTTATGTGGGTGGAGCTTCTGGATCTCAAAAGGGGAGGGCTATGGAGATGAGTCATGATACTCAAGTCAGACATATGGGGTTTCAGGGGTCGACAACTATGCCCCCAAATATCGGTGGTGATTCTTCTGACATTACTGGGAAAACTGCTCTCGAGTCTGTTCCGTCTATGAATTCTGGCACTGCTGGTCCTACAGGAGTTACACAGATGCCAACTAATCAAATCAGTATCAAGGTAAATGCTAATCGTCCAATGTTTAATGAAAATCAAATCCGGCCACCAGTTGAAAATGGTTCAACCATGCTGTTTGTGGGAGAACTACATTGGTGGACAACTGATTCTGAGCTTGAAAGTGTTTTATCTCAGTATGGGAGGGTCAAGGAAATTAAGTTTTTTGATGAGAGAGCCAGTGGTAAATCCAAAGGATATTGTCAGGTTGAGTTTCATGATCCAGCTGCTGCCACTGCATGCAAAGAGGGAATGGATGGTTATCTTTTCAATGGGAGAGCTTGTGTTGTGGCTTTTGCTTCTCCACAGACTTTGAAGCAGATGGGAGCTTCTTATTTAAGCAAATCCCAAGGCCAGACTCAGTCTCAGCAACCAGGAAGAAGGCCCATGAATGATGGTGTTGGGAGAGGGGGAGGTGTGAACTATCAAACTGGAGACACCGGAGGGAGGAATTTTGGAAGGGGTGGATGGGGACGAGGGGAGACACCGGAGGGAGGAATTTTGGAAGGGGTGGATGGGGACGAGGTGGACAGGGAGTAGCCAACAGAGGTCCTGGAGGTGGAGGACCAATGAGAGGAAGAGGAGGGGCCATGGGCGCAAAGAACATGGCTGGGAACCCTGCTGGTGTTGGAACTGGTGCTAATGGAGGCTATGGACAGGGCCTTGCAGGTCCTGGGTTTGGAGGTCCTGTAGGAGGTATGATGAATCCACAGGGTATGATGGGTGCTGGATTTGATCCAACATATATGGGCCGAGGAGGCGGTTATGGAGGATTTCCAGGTCCTGCTTTTCCTGGAATGCTTTCTTCATTTCCTGCTGTTAATACAATGGGACTTGCTGGGGTGGCTCCTCATGTAAACCCAGCTTTCTTTGGCAGGGGAATGGCAACTAATGGAATGGGAATGATGGGTTCTTCTGGAATGGATGGGCATCATGCAGGGATGTGGAATGACCCAAGCATGGGTGGGTGGGGAGGAGAAGAACATGGTCGAAGAACTAGGGAGTCAAGTTATGGTGGTGATGATGGTGCTTCTGAGTATGGGTATGGAGAGGCAAATCATGAAAAAGGAGGAAGGTCAAATGCTCCCTCGAGGGAAAGAGAACGGGGATCTGAGCGTGACTGGTCAGGAAACTCTGAGAGGAGGCATCGTGATGAGAGGGAACAAGACTGGGACAGGTCTGAAAGAGGGGAGCATAGGGAGCATCGGTACAAGGAAGAAAAAGATAGTTACCGAGACCATCGACAGAGAGAGCGTGATGTGGGTTATGAGGATGACTGGGACAGAGGTCAGTCTTCTTCAAGACCTCGGAGCCGGTCCAAAGCAATGCCGGAAGATGATCATCGGTCTCGATCAAGGGATGTTGATTACGGGAAGAGGAGACGGTTGCCATCTGAGTGACACAATTAGACTATTGACCTTCTCTAGCATGTCTTTGAGACTGCAGAATATAAGTTCTGACCGTTAGTATATCTAGCCTTGGGTACCTATGGTGAATCTGCATTCTTCCTGCAAACGTGGCTTCTAGAGGGAGAAGTAAGTTCTACCAGTGAGCATAGGAGGGAACGATCATTTCCCCCTTGCTTTTATACTGCTTTCTACAAAACATTTAGCTGTGATAATTAATATTTGTGTGCTTAAAAACAATTAGTAACTTTTAGTAGCATACCAACAAAGATATAGCTGTGGGGATTCGGCTACTCATTTCCTGCAGCTGTTATCTTACAGGTTTAATAACTATGCTACCCAATCTTTCTTCAAGACAATTGCTTTATTGGGTTTGTGGTACTTATAGTTTGAAAACTTCTTGTGTTCTATGTGATTGTGGAAGTTCTTTTTCTTCATTTATTTTATCTTTGAGTGGAGCCTATCCTTGATCTTAGCTGAAAGGTTAAGAAAGATGTGGGGTAGCACCCAAAAAGAACAAGGAGAAGTGATTGTTTCTGTTCCTTTCCCTTGACATTTAACTGATGCTGGTATTTATACGTATGTTGGAATGAATGATAATGTTTATATAGTTTGGACTTTGATTGTCTGTCTCTTGGAAGTTTTGATTGTTATGTTGGCATGAATAGCTTTGACTGAAAACTGCAAAATATTTGGGGAGGGGTTTGATGTCATTGTTGTGTGATGTGTCTCATACCTATAGGGAACTTAGTTACACCCTGGCTTGGAGACTGTCAACGTTGGTTTGCAATGTTTCATTTTTTCTCTTGGCTCTTCTTATTGTTCTATTTAAGTGGCAGCAATAGATTATGAGGTGGTGTCTTGGAAAGTTATTTTATTTGATGTCTATTGACATGCGGGTTTTCTTTTAATCATCATATCCAGGGAGTAGAGTGGGCAACTCCTTTTCATAATTGAATCAGCCTGTGCTGGTCACATGATGGAAGATGTGTTACCTGGATGCGTTTCCAAGTGTGCAAAAGAAGATTTTGACTATTTTGAGTTTCACCTTATTTTCTTGAAGCACCACTTAAAAATATGTATTAGTGCGCCTGCAACAAAATATCTAGAAAGAGTGTTCTCCAACTAGTGAAATATTAAGTGCAGATTTGTCAGTGTGCATGTAAAGAACTGAATGTCCTTGTGTAATTGTAGGCTTTTTGTATTAGGTCCACATGTAATGCCCTCTTTTGTTGTAATAGTCTTGTACGGAATTGGATGTGCTTAGTTGTAGATATTCAGTGTGTTGTAACTTCCATTGTCTGCTCTATGCACTAGGGAGTCGGGATTGATCCATTAAGACATTGTAACAGGAAGCCACTGTGCTAAATTGTAATTAGTCATAGATTTATACAACACAGTTTCTGTTGAAGCAACTTCCTGTAAAGAATCTTACTCTTTTGTTTTTGGGTATAATGTAACCGCAAGGTGTACTTGGGTTTAGGGGTTGTGAGTTGTAAATCAATGCTGCACTGTAAATTAGCTGGGACTGAAACGATTGTTTAGGGTTTGTTTCTCTCTTCATGGAGGCCTATGCTGTGCTGCTGATGTACAATTTTCACTTGGATGTAGTCTTGTACATTTCTTCATGGATATCAAATTGTCTGTTTCTTCTTCTTTTATTTAATTTTGAGTCAAATTGTATTGTTTCTCGACAATGTATATTGGAGATTTGGTGTTTAGTCATGTTGTTTAGTGTATGAGAAGCTGCATCATTCTTGAAGGAGGCACCCAATGGAAGCCACTTGCTTTACATGTCTTCCTGATGGCACTACTTGCTTGATGAAGCCTTGAAGGATTGTGCTTTGCTGGAATGACCATCATATTGTCTTTTGCTGTATTTGAATTCTTTTCTTCTTTCTGTTTTGTTGTTGTATTCAATTTCTCAATTAGTTAGTATATCTAGTCCTGCTGTTGTTTGAGCTGTGCCATTATAATTTTTGTTGTAAATTTCATAGTTGGTTATTCAATTTGAAGTTGTAAAACTCTAGATGTGAATTCACAGTTGATGGAATAACTTTGCAATGAAAGCGCAAGGGCGCATTTCATTTCAAATTAGTAGTCTTTCGACTGTAAATAGCCGCCACATGTATATGATTTAGTTTTTTGAGCAATAGATGGCTCTAAGCTTTGGTTCTCAGTACAGCACTCAAGTTGAGACCTGGTTTCATTCACTGTAGTTGTTAACCTGCTGCATATAGCTGGCAATTGCTTTGTTGTGTATAATTGAAACTATGAGTGCCTCTTCCTTCTGTTTGACCTGGTTTTCTTTTCTGCTTGTGGTTTGTAATTAATGGGGGATTGGATTGGAGTTGTGAACTAGAGTCTCTGTGTACGCGTGTCACGTCGATAGACTAGTAGCTTTGGCTGCATATTTTGTTTCTCTTTTATTACAGCTCCCCTCCCTCCACTGCCCCGAGAATTATTGTTGTTTGTTTTCTGATATTCCATTCTGAATAATTTTCTTTTCTGCTTCAATTTGACTTGACTGGGTAGAAGAAGTAGAACTGGGTTGCCTTTGCCTAGGATAGGATAGGAAGGATTAAGAAAGGTTCTTCTTGTCGGATTTTAATTAATTGCATTCTTTTCCTTTCTTTTCTTTTCTATGTATAATGCCTTCTTTTTAAGTCAATTCAAATCCCAAAGGAAAATTACAATTACACAACACTTCTAAAGAATTTTTCAAGTGCCCGTCTCAACGGTTTATGAGCACTACTACACTCACCAAATTTGTCGAAAATTTTTTATACGCGGGATGATGATGTAGCAATGCTTCATTTATTCAATTCTAGGCACACTTTAATGATACATCAATACAAACGTATCATTTCTCTTTCTCGAACAAATGTACTGAGCCTAGCATTATTGATATGTATTATGCATACGTGCATACACGGAGCTGCTTGAGATTAGAAGAACAAGGAGGCGGCGACGCCAGTAGCAACAACTGCTCCAGCTGACAGCTGTTCGGCAGTGGCAGCGCTAGCCTTAGGACCCTCGGCGTTGCCACCATCAATGGAGCCAAAAGTTGACTCGGAGACAGGTCCACCAACAGAGCCGGCGGTGACACCATCGCTAGAAGCACTGCCACTGGGAGAAGGAGCTGCAGCGCCGTCACCGCCGTCACCGCCCATGGTTCCCACTTGGTTATCGTCTGCGGCGGCGACGGGTCCGGAAACAGGCACACCACTAAACGTTGGGAGACCGGGTTTGGGGGTTGTGGTGGTGGCGGCACCGGCGCTGGGGCTGGGGGCGTCGGCGCCAAAAGCCAAGCCCACGGTGGCCATCAGAACAAGAGCAACAACAACAATTTGGCGTGCCATGTTTACGTAAAAAAGGGTAAACTGGTAATTTAACACACGTGCGCGCAGCTGGTTCTCTTTCTCTGCTGGGTTTGAGAAACACTGCAGGCTTACGGAAATCGGCGATGGTGGTGAATGGTGCTGGGTGAGAAATGGGTATATATGCCCCATTTCCACGGTTGGGAGGAGAAGATTGGTGGGCGTGGAGGGCGTTGCGGAGTTGTGCTACCAAAGCCACCGGTGGCACTAGTTTGTTATGAAGCTAATTTCAGTTGAAATTCCGTTATTTCAGTTAAAAAAATATTTGAGAGTTTTTTTTTACCTCCATTGACCTTGGTCAACTGGAAGGTTGGATTTTCAAACAAATCAATCTGGGCCCAACAACTTTCAATATTGGCCCAAGCCCATATGGTGTTTGAGGTTTGGCCCAAAAAAAGAAGAAGCCCATAAATAAAAAGATTTCCTCCTCTCCTCAACTCAAAGGCTTGAACTTTCGAGCAGTCAAAATCTCAAAACCCAAACCCTAAAGCAAATGCTTTAAACAGAGAGAAGAAGGTCCTAGACCTAAGAGGAAGCAGAGAGTGGGAAGTAGAGGAGAAGAGAAGCGAAGTGCGATTGTGAAGTTGAGAGTGTGTTGGTGGAAATGGCGCTCGCATTCGATGAGTATGGGCGGCCATTCATAATACTGAGGGAGCAGGAGCAGAAGACCCGATTGAGAGGCCTCGATGCTCAGAAAGCCAACATTTCCGCTGGCAAAGCCGTCGCTCGGATCCTCCGGACTTCTCTCGGACCCAAGGGCATGGACAAGATGCTCCAGAGCCCCGATGGTGAAGTCACCGTCAGTAAGTAACTTCATCTCTCCCTCTCTCTCTCTTTAGCTCTAACTCATACTCGATATGAAGTTTGTTCCTGTTTGCTTTGCCATTTCTAGTTCATTTTTTTAGTACGTGGATCTATGTGTTTGTCTTGTCTGTTCATTGTTATCGGGGTTCATTTTATAGAATAAACTACTGCTTCATTTTTTAGAGTATGTCATGGTTATTTTACTCTGCAATTGTCAGCTTCGAAATTTATATGTTTTTCTGAGCTCTGGGTTGGTTTTGGTATGTCTTTGATTGTTAGATAATCCCAGTCCACTTGTTATTAACGCTTTTTAGTGTCCTCGTGGTCATAACTATACCTGCCCCGTCATGTGGACATGGCTGTGTGGGGTGAAGCATCCACTTAATTGCAATACATGCTTTGGGATCTGCTTGGTTTTAGTTTTACCATTGGCTTTGAAATAACCTTACCCTTCGCATTGTCTTTTCAGCAAATGATGGCGCAACAATTCTGGAGCAGATGGATGTCGACAATCAAATTGCAAAGTTGATGGTTGAACTATCCCAGAGCCAGGACTATGAAATTGGTGATGGGACAACTGGAGTCGTTGTGTTGGCTGGTTCACTTTTAGAGCACGCTGAGCGGCTATTGGAGCGTGGTATTCACCCCATACGGGTTGCAGAGGGATATGAAATGGCATCTAGAATAGCTTTCGATCATTTGCAGCATATATCACAGAAATTTGAATTTGGGCTGGATAACATAGAGCCTCTAGTTCGAACTTGCATGACTACTTTATCATCCAAGATGTAAGCACACTTTTTAGGTTTTGTTTCCACTTATGCCATGTTGTGGTTCACTCATAATTTACTAAAGCATGTTTACCTCACCAATTTTGTAAATGATGGTTTTTTCATCATAAAAGTTAGCAGTATTGTATACACTAGTTAAAGTTCATGGTTTCTTGTTGGCAAATTGGCTTTTTCATGGCTTTTGTAATAGTATGCTGTTATTGGCACCCCTTACCTTTGCAATTTTTTTAATGGATTGTTGCATGAATACGTTTTCTATTGTCATTTTATTATTGACTTGAATGTAAAATTTCATGCTGTAGTGTGAATCGGTGCAAGCGCGACCTTGCTGAGATTGCTGTGAAAGCAGTTCTTGCTGTTGCAGATTTAGAGAGGAAGGATGTGAATCTAGATCTGATAAAAGTAGAGGGGAAAGTAGGGGGTAAGTTGGAAGATACTGAGCTGGTATATGGTATTCTAATCGACAAGGATATGAGCCATCCACAAATGCCAAAGCGAATTGAAGATGCAAAAATTGCTATCTTGACTTGCCCATTTGAGCCACCGAAGCCAAAGACAAAACATAAGGTTGATATTGATACAGTGGAAAAGTTTCAGACTCTACGTCTGCAAGAACAGAAGTACTTTGATGACATGGTCCAACAATGCAAGGTCAGATTTCATCCTGCAGTTCCATAATGTTATTGCTATAATGAAAATAAAAATCTATAATGCGTGGCTGCAATTTGATTATTTCGGTACTAAGGATACTTTTCTGTTGTCTTTTGTGAACTCTCTCTCTCTCTCTCTGTTTTTCCTTTCTAGAAAAGGGCTGTTGCAACTTTTTCTTCATTGTTGTCACTATGCCATCAAGTTTTACTTATGGATAATCACCGGATATGCAGGATGTGGGTGCTACCTTGGTCATTTGTCAATGGGGATTTGATGATGAAGCAAATCACCTATTGATGCACAGGAACTTGCCTGCTGTCAGATGGGTTGGTGGTGTAGAGTTGGAACTAATTGCAATAGCTACAGGTATGCCTTATATAGAAGCCTGTTTAGCACTTGAAATGTGGTAGATAATTTCAGCAGTGTGTTGCTTTTGTACTATTTTTTCATCTTTGTCCACCAACAAAATGATGTATTTATGTTTTGTAGGCGGAAGAATTGTGCCCAGGTTTCAAGAATTGACACCCGATAAGCTAGGAAAGGTATATTTCTGTAAGAATATTATTGTTCGTTATTTTATGCTTATTAAAAGCAATATCGTGTAACAAGTACTCATCATTTTGAACATATTTATTAATTTTTCTTGATTGATATCAGTTAATCTATTTACTTTCCATTCTTGAAAAGTTGATAAACCCTGATTCAAAGTTCTTTTTAACTTTTTATTAGGCCGGTATAGTTCGTGAAAAATCATTTGGCACAACAAAAGATCGAATGCTGTACATTGAACACTGTGCAAATTCAAGGGCTGTGACCATATTCATCCGTGGAGGTAGGTTTCTTTGCTTGTCTAGTTCTTGTTACCTTCAACTTTATTGAGCATCTCAATGAAGTGAAAATGATGTCAATAAGATGAACCCTTTTTAGTAGCATCAGCATATGAAACAAATAGTATATATGGTTAGCAGATTTTGCAACCTTTCAACTAGTCTGCCTTTTTGTTAACTATTCTGTGATTACGGTTATTCTTTAAAGAAAATTTAACGTTCTTTTAAGAGGTTTTGATGTTTTTTTTTTCACCCATTAGGTAACAAAATGATGATAGAGGAGACTAAACGCAGCATCCATGATGCACTGTGCGTTGCTAGGAATCTGATCCGCAACAACTCAATCGTCTATGGTGGTGGCTCAGCAGAGATATCTTGCTCTGTTGCTGTAGAGGCAGCTGCAGATAAATACCCAGGAGTTGAACAAGTATGAAGATACTTTTCCCCTCTTTGCATTTTTGTAACAGTATTAAGTATATTGTTATAATCAGATCATTCTTTCATCCACAGTATGCCATTAGAGCATTTGCAGATGCTTTGGATTCTGTCCCCATGGCACTTGCAGAGAACAGTGGCCTTCAACCCATTGAAACGCTATCTGCAGTGAAATCCCAGCAGATTAAGGTAAATGAAGCATGATAGCCAGCCAGTGTATTCTTGATTGGGTGGTTTCACTCTCTCCCTCTTTCTGTTGCAAGCTAGTAATTTCAGCCATGTATAATAGCATTTTAATATTGGTCATCGTTTTGAATTTGGTATGCAGGAGAACAATCCCCACTGCGGAATAGACTGCAATGATGTTGGCACTAATGACATGCGCGAGCAGAATGTGTTTGAGACTTTAATTGGGAAGCAGCAGCAAATCTTACTGGCAACACAAGTTGTCAAGATGATACTGAAAATAGATGATGTTATTTCCCCCTCTGATTTCTGATAGTCTCTGCGGCTCATGCTTTGTTTTACCTGCGAATGAATTTTATGTAATTTTTGTGGCTTGATTTGGTATTTTGACTCACTTGGAACATATGATATTCTCCCTTGAGGAAACTTGTTTGTAGAATCTGGAGTGGTTTTCACTGGTTGTAGCATGATCACTCCTCTGCCTTAATGCATCGCTGTTTTTGTTGTTCAACGTCTGAATTTTTGGGCTAACTTATTACTGCATCAATTTGACATCCGGTCTTAATGCATTGCTGTATTGGTATACTTTTAAGTTTATTTTGATGGCAAAAATACTCCGCTCATTCTGATCTTTTTTTCTAATATAAAAACTCTGTTTTAAGTTTTATTTCTCCAAGAGCATGTCCACCGCAGCCCAATTTGCCAGGGCAATAGGCCCCCCCAGCTTGAAATGGACCTCCAGCGCAGGAAAATCAGCCCGGGCAAGCCCAAGGGCAGATCTTGACTGGGCTTCAGCCTGAAGGCGCTGACATCAGTGGTGATGTCATCAAGCCCAAGGGCAGATCTTGACTGGGCTTCAACCCGAAGGCGCTGACATCAGTGGTGATGTCATACTGATGTCGGCAACAGTGAAATCAGATTTTTTTTTACTGTTGGCGCGTGAATTAGCGCGTGGAATTCACGTGCCAACGGTAAAAAAAAATTGGTTTCACCGTGCCGACGTCAGCGACTAACAGCTCCCAACAGGAAGATGCCACGTGGCGCTGCCCGGATGCTTCGATCGTTTTTTGTCCAGAAATTCGATGGACTTGATTTTTTTGGATTAAAAAATGCGAAAAAATTTAAAAAAATTTTGGATTTTTTCTCTATAAATACCTATCAATTTCATTCACTTTCAACACCAAATCTTCATACAAACTCTTCTCCTTCCAATATTTTTTCCATTCAACTCACATTTTTCTACTAGTTTCCATTTGTATCAAAAAACAAATGGCATCTTCTGTCGAAGCCGGAGGCGCTTGGACTACTGTGGAAGATGTTGCGTTGTGTGAGTCTTGGGTGAAAGTTAGTCATTGTCCTAAATCAGGTGTAGGGGCCTTTTTCTTCCGGCAGCAGGTGGGCTGGACTGATGAAATTGTCCCCTTTGTCTGAGTTTGAAAATTAAGCCCCAAAATGCTTCGAAAGGGCAGTAAGGCCTTAGGAAGTATTTTGGTTACCTTCACCAACCAAAACAGCAGCAACTTACAGATAACTTCTTTAGGCTTGCAGATAAACTTTTGAGCTTGGCATGAGAGGCATGTGGCATGGAAGCAAAATTATCATGGGTTTAGCACTTTATGAGAGAGAGAGTTCTGGGTTTCTATGAAGGTCAGGATGGCACGAAAATTGCTGAGCTTGCAAGTGAGAGAGAAAGCTTGCTCTCTGAAGGCTGTGTGTTGTGTTATGTTGGGTAGAAGAGGCCCTATTTATAGTTGCTGGGGTTTGTTCTTCTCCAAGAAACCCTAATGGTTTCTTCCCAACCTAGCTAAGCTCTCTTCTTCCTTTCTTCTCTTCATTCTTGACTTACCTCATGGTGGCAAAGTTAGCTCTGCCCAATCCCACAAAATCAGAGATTTTGGGTGCTCCAGGCCTTTTCCAGCGACTGCCTCAGGGGGGAACTTCCCTTTTCCACCCATCTTTTCCCTCTTCTTTCTTCCTCCTTTCATGGCCAATATCTGATGGAGGAAGGAAAATGAATATGCATGCTGGTTCAGAGGATGGCACCCTCCCTTGTACGCCAATATCCCTTGGTCTTTTTACTGCCTTTACTTGGAACTTGCTCCTTCCATGTGTGACCTCCCAGCAGCCCCTTTTTTTATGCGGCTCCTTTGGCCTTTCGTGGCTTGCTGCTTCAGCCAAGTGCTGAAGGCCTTGGACTCTTTTTATTCAAATGGTATGGGCCTTTTAGTATAGAAAACCAAGTCATCTATTAAGTGGGCTAAATTCACCAAATATTTGGGCTTTATGGGCTAAAGTAATGGGTTATTTTGGTTGGGCTACCCTAGTTGACTTAATGAGCTATTTCCTCTCTTGTGCTTACCCACATTTGGGCCTAAGAAAATGGGCTTGAGTCCCGAGGCCCCCAAGCGACCTGAGACTTCCATTTTCCGACCCATGGGTGGGCCCCATGATAACTCGTTACCATCCATACCACAATCCTGCTCAAGCAAGCCCCGGGCATTCGAGTGGCTTGGGCCCACTTAAGCTTGTTGTGAGATAATACTTTCTTGCTTGGCATGGCATGTCACTGGGCGTGCTTTTAAATATGACGCTTGATAGGATAATTGGCATGGATTTGCAGAGCTAAATGCATCTTATAATTTTAATCCCAATTTCTAGCACGGTAGATCTTATTTGGCATGATATGGCTTGCGTATGGCAGACTTCTGTACACCTTAAACCGGGTCTTTTTCCAATAATATATTGCCTTGGGCTAGGAATTTATTCGGGCCCAACCATGGATTTTTTGGGCCTCAACATCAGGCAATGAGATGAAGTTTTCTCAAATGTGGAGAAAAATTGATGAAGAATTTTCTGAAAGATCCGGTTCGGCTCGGACGGAAATGGCCTTATCCTCCAGGTGGAAAATTTTGAATAAAGAATTGGGGAAATGGAGGGATGCCTTGACAAAAGCGAGGGAGAACCTTCGAGGCGGTCAAAATCTTACGGATGAGGTAAAATATTTATAATTCTCGTTTTATTCAATTTAATGTAACTTTTTTTTTCTTGCATATTAATTTATTTATATTTTGTTGCATAATCATTTTTTTATTTTGCAATTTTAAATTGTTAATATTTTCTTCCATATTTATTTTTTTCTTGCATTTCTAATGTATTTATATTTTGTTGCATAATCAATTTTTTTCTTGCATTTCCAAATTATTTATATTTTCTCCCATATTCATTTTTTGGTTGCATTTCCAATTATTTATTTTTAATAGATCATACAAGCACAAATGTGGTTCAGTGCCACGGGGCAAGGCAAAAAAAGTTTCCAGAATCACCAATATTGGGAAATTGTGAAGAATTGTTCGAGATTCAAAATAATTTGCACTGCTCCGCCGGTTGTGTTGAATGAGACGCCGCTCCACGATTCGCCGGCAACTGATTCGCCAGTGGACTCCCTAATGGATCAAGACTCACCACTCCCACGTGCGCCGAGACCTATTGGGAGAAAGGCTGCAAAGGCGAAGAAAGGGAGCACTTCGAAGAATGAATGTGCACAATTTTTGGAGCAAATCGCTAAGGATGGTGCACTGAGACTTGAGAGAGACTTGAAAAGAGAAGAAGCAGACAAGGCACGAGCTGAAGCATTTGCAATTGAAAGGCAGCAGGCACAAGAACAAGACATGGAGGATAGAGAGATGAAAATCATGGCCATGGATACCACCCATATGTCTCCTGAAACAAAGTCTTATTTATGAGAATCCTTATTCTTAAAAATGTTAATATTTTATCAATTTGGTAAGTATTAAATTATAATTATAATTGTTGTACTTTAAAAAATATATATATATATAGTATTATAGTCATTTTATGAAAAACTATGTTTTATTTTAATGCTTCACCTAGTGCAAATTCATTATTTTTTAAAGATTTTGATGATTTTCTCAAAATTGGCTTTAATATTAATATTAGTTAATAGCATCTCATGCATAGCCATTAAAAATTCATGCATGAGAATTCTCTTTAAACTCCACGTAGTCAAAATGTGTCAAACAATTATGCATTAGATGATTCACTTGCTTATTCACTTGCAAACTAGTTATGTGTCAATAATTTAGATAGTTGAATCATCACTACGTGTCTTCACTCTATATCTTCCTATCTTTCTATTGATTTGGAGTGAAGGAAAAGTTACTTAAGGAGGTGATCCTAAAAACGTTGAAGTTATCTGTTGGCATACC